TCCCCTCCCCTCAACTCCCCTCCTTTTCTGAGACAAAGTTTCTTGTGGCTTAGGCTGACCTCAAACTCTCTGTGTAACTAAGGGTGACTTTGAACTCCTGATCCTCCTGCTTCTACATCCCACCATGTGTGTCACAGCATGATGAATGAGTAAATAACTCCATGCTTTTACTTGTGGAAGTTGCAGTGGCCTATAGATTTAATTGATTTTTTAAATGTGTATGAGTGCATGTCTGCATGCATGTATGTACACCAAGTACGGCCCTGGTGCTCAGAAAGACTAGAAGAGGGTGTAAGATCTTCTGAGACTGGAGTTACAGACAGTTGTGAGCTTCCATTCAGGTCCTGGAAACCAAATTTGGTTGCTCTGGAAGAACCACACTGTTGAGTCTCCTCTCCCCGCCCCACTTTTGAGACAAGGTCATCATAGTCTAGTCTACGATGGCCTCAATCTCATGATCCTCCTGCCTCAGCCTCCTGAGTGCTGAGATAACAGGTGAGTGCCAACATTCTTGGCTTGAGATTTAGGTAGCTTTTTTTTTTTAGGAATGGGTGTCATGTAGCCCAGACTGGACTGAAACTGATTCTCTTGCCTCTGTCTCACAAGTACCGAGAGGATAGGAATCTACCACCATGCCTGCTGCTCTTTTCCCCTTTGGTGTTGGTGATACTAGAAAAGTACTCCAACACTGAGCCACAACCCTCCGAGATTGAGCTTTGATTAGTAATTGGTGTGGAGGCACATATTGGTGACATGTTGGCACTTGGAACTGCCCTGGTACATGCATAGTAATGCATTATATCCTGAATAGCAAGTTGGCAATATTCAAACCCATGAAGAACTCTTGATTTTTTTTTTTTTTTGATTTTTTGAGACAGGGTTTCTCTGTGTAGCTTTGGAGCCTATCCTGGCACTCACTCTGGAGACCAGGCTGTCCTCGAACTCACAGAGATCTGCCTGCCTCTGCCTCCCGAGTGCTGGGATTAAAGGTGTGTGCCACCAACGCCCTGCAAGAACTCTTGATTTTATAGTTGTGGTGTTGGGACAATCGAACCCAGAGTTGGCAGAACGTTTTTGGCATTTATTTAGGATTTGGTAGATTCTTAAATGCCTCCATGTAACCTGTCTCATGTTCTTGAGAGGATTTAACAAGCCATTAGGTTAAGTGAAAAATGTCTACAGCTTAAAGGCATTCTTTTAACAGGTGTGATTAATTTCCCTATGGTCACTGTGCCTTTCTAAATTTACACAAAAGAAAGAAACGGGGAACAAGGTGGCAGACATCAGGCGAAAGCAACTACAGCTGCAGGGATAACAATCTCATACACACCTGTACAAGACAAGGTCCGTCTAAGTGTGGCACTTCTGAGGCCACACTGAGCAGTACACATAAGCTATGTCAGTTCACTACATTTTTTATTTTTAAATTTTTTGAGACTGTTTTTTTGTAGTCCAGGCTGGTCTCCACCTTGTTACATAGAGGAGGATGAGCTTGAGCTTCTGATCTTTCTGCTTTAAGCTCCCCCAAATGTTGAGATTTCAGGCATGCATGACTATGTCTAGCTTTAAAAAAAATTAAATTAAATGTGTGTGTGTGTGTGTGTGTGTGTGTGTGTGTGTGTGTGGGGGG